TATCAGAATGCTCCCACTAAATAAATGTTGTGGTTGTAACTTCCAGGATATTGGTGCTGTTGCTTTGCTGGTGTCAATGACTCACTTGGATGTGCACAATTAAAATAAGTACATTGATGCACATGCTCCAAAGCTATTAATCAGCAGAGGAGATACAGAGAACTGAGAGCCTCATGTGTGTTTGTGCCCAGTTCCCAGAGCTGATGCAGAGCAGAACACCTGCATTTGGTCCTTGTAAGGGTACCCTTGTAAGGGTAAAACTCCTGTTTGCTTCTGGACATTCTGAGGCTGGATGAGAACAGTGGGGTTTATTTCAAACTCCTGCTGGTAATGACTCTTGGTTACCAGGGTATCTTCTGCCAATAGAAATAAAAAGCAGCAGCATCTTCACCTCTCTTGAGTGTTTCCCACCCTGAGGAATGCTGTTATATCTCACAAGTGTGTGCACAGGCATCAGCACAGAGGGTTTCCCAAAAGAGTGTTTTGCTGACCCTGCTCAGTGCTGAGGGTGCAGGGTGTAAAATAGGTCAGTGGTGTAACATCGTTACTGGTGTAACACCAGCACATCCTCTGGATGTCCTGCAGACCTAAAGGAATATTGTACATGCACCTCATGTCTGCTGACCCACAGCAAAGCCCTTACCCTGCTGAGACCTTCTGTGCTCACCCATGTGCTGTTCTTTGTGGGTACCCCAGTTTCAAATGGCAAAAGCCAATGCAAAAAGGGAATCAGAGTTTATTCCATTGAGGGCAACTGGATCGATTTTTGAGATACAAAGTTTTCAGCACGTGTATAGCCTCGAGTTTTCTTGACAGCAGTGGTCTCCTAGCTGGGTCAGGGTATCTCCCATTCTTCTCATAGAGGTTAATTGTGTTTTAAATGCTTTTGGCCACATGAAATCTGAAGATGTGGCAATTTCTGACCTCAGTTTGTATAAAGAGGCAGAATCAACTTTCAGGTGCTACCACACTGTGGCATCTGCATAGGAGACACGTACACTGGATTTATGTGTGTGCACTGTCTCAGAGCAGGATCCGAGTGTGGCACTGCTCCACGTTGAAAGAAAATCACAGCTTATAATATTCAACTGGTTACTATAACCCCCACCCACCCCAGGTTTAATATTAGAACTATTTTTCACGTTGAAACCGAAATAGTACAAAATATGGGCTTGCTGTAATTGTTGTTAGATTATGTGTCACCCTGATAAGATGTAACAAATATTTTCCTACACAGCAGGGCCTGTTTCCCTGCGAGTAATGGATGGAGAAACTTCTCATAGTGTGTAGGCAATTGGTCGTAAAAACTTCGCTGAGAAGATTAATGCATTCAGTGCAACCTTTGTGGAAAATAGGAAGAAAAGAATTAAAATAATAGTTTGTTCTTTCACATCTAATATTAATAACCAAACTTATTTGGTGGGAATGTTCCTTGCTGCATGCGCCTTCTTCCTTCCAGGGGCAGCTTTGTGTCAAATAAGTATTTCTATGCTTTTTAAAGATCTTTCAGCAGCAGCTATTGTATGTGGTACAGTGATTCTTTCAACAGAACTATTTTTATCAGTAATATGAAAGACTTTTTTTTCATGGGCACAGCTTTGACACCAATAAGTCTGCTGGATGTCACTTAATAGGCTAGATAAACATTCGCTCACCACTTAGCGTGGAAGGATTTTCCCTTTATATCACAGCTCTTTTGGAGACACTTAATGGCCATCAGAGAGGTGGCACCCTGGGGACAGGACTTTCCAGAGCCTGTGCTCAGCCAGAGCCAGGGCAGGGGCTTGTTTGCTGTACAAACACTAGTGTGCAGGACAGAAAAGTGAGGCCCTGCTAGAAGGAGCCTCTGTAGATCACAGGTAACTCCTGAGCACACACTGCACCGAGTTGTGCTGTTGCCCATTAGATGGGTCCCTGCCCCTTTCTGGGGATTACTTGGGACTGCCTGGTGCTCTGCCATGGAGCAGTGGCTGCAGCTAACTCGGCAGGTGCAAGGATGGTCTTACATGATGATGTAATGAGTTGGTTTTTTTAAATTGCTCGAGGTTTGGGGAAAAGGCTGATTTAGATTGATTGCTGCTGCTTCCCCCCTGTGTGTGTTTTGAGATCTTGTTTTCTGCCTAAAGGACACTTCTGTACCTGCAGTCAGTCTCAAGTGACAGGTACCATCAGTCATGAAGTCAGCTATGAGACCAGGGTTGGATGAACTGCTTATTTTCAGTGTGTGGCACACAGTTCACTTCTTCCCAGGTCTTTGCTTATATCTTGGGGCTGGTAGGCTAACCAACTTGAATTTTACAGAGAATCACTTGTTTTACTACTTGTGAGAAGAGATATTTCATCACAGTTTTACAGAGCTTGAATTTTTATAAAGAGCATTTTGTCAGCAAAGAAACAATTGGTTTGCTAAAGGAGAAACAAGTTTCTGCCCCTTCCTGCTGCTGGTAGACAGTGGGAACCAGTGGTCTTAAGATTTCAGTATTCCAGGAGGCTGGAATCCTTTGCTGCCCCAGTAGGTCTTTTGCTGCCAAGTGAACAGAAACAGCCTGATCAGGAAAAAGCCAATGCCATCAAACATTGATTGGGCCTTTGAACTGCTCTGGCATTCAGAATTATTTAGGGCTTATTCAACCTCTTTCTAAATTGATCAGTTAGATATTTCAGAAAAATGGTACTTAGATTCTTAAATAACTACATTCATCATTGCCAAGGACTTTCAAACTGGAACAGGAAAAAAAAAGGTTCAATTTTGATCATGCAGTAGCCTCTCTTCCCATCCTGCCATAGCACTAAAGCAGAACGTGCCAACCAGCCACAGGAAAAAGAGATTTTAGGAGCACTATGAGAATTAGTCTGATGGTGTAACTGCAAATTTTATTCGAGGTCACTAACTACATTCATCATTGCCAAGGACTTTCAAACTGGAACAGGAAAAAAAAAGGTTCAATTTTGATCATGCAGTAGCCTCTCTTCCCATCCTGCCATAGCACTAAAGCAGAACGTGCCAACCAGCCACAGGAAAAAGAGATTTTAGGAGCACTATGAGAATTAGTCTGATGGTGTAACTGCAAATTTTATTCGAGGTCACTAAGAGAAAGGACTGTTTGAAAGCTTAATGTTCCTTGGCCAAAAATATTCACAGATAAAACAAAAATCATTCATTAAGTCTCTCTGTCACTATTGTTTAGTTGCAGATGTAGAGAAAGGAGTAGATAGATTATTTAAAGTACAAAAGCTAATTAGGGTTGGCTGACAGAGTACTGAATTTTACTTTGAAGAATGGGACAGGTTTTTACATGACTGAGATGGTAGAATGTGATCAAAACATTATTAAATCCAAACCTCCCAGCTTCCTTCCAGCCTTGCTTTTTCCCCAGCAATCTCTGCTGCCCAGTCCACAGTTTTCAGAGCTGAAAAATCATTAGCAATTTCCACTAAGAGCACTTCAGCACAAGGCAGAGACAAGCCTCCAGAGCATAAGGGGGTGAGGACAGAGGATTTTAGCAGCTGGACTCCTTCCCCACAGATGATGACCGAGCTTACACATGTTTTAGAAGTCAGAATTCTGATGTAACAAAGCAGCTTTGTTACATTTGATACATAGCAATGAAGCCATCTAAATGTATTTTATACAAACATGCCTGCTATGGCTTTGTGAACCTTTTTAGCTCCTCCAGCTACCAGGAAGTCTTAGAAGAAAAACCTCATAGGAAATCAAAATTAATAATAGAGGTGGGTTTTACCTTTAAAAACACACACAAAAAAAGGGCAATTGCCTGTGTCTGCCCAGTGTAGTGCTCCTGAGATTCTCCCGGTGAGGAACCAATGACTTCCTGTGAAGGATTCATGGAAGGCAGAGTAGCTGTGTTTGGTACTTGTGAGAAAGTGGCTCATTTGGGAACACAGACTAAAGGTTTTGATGAGCTAAAAGTATTAATTGAAAACTTACCCTCTTCACTCTGCAGATGCTAAAAAGGGTATTTAAAACTGAGCTCCTGTGACAAGTTATTGTTTCTTCTCTTTCCTCCCTTCCCCAAGAACTATGCTTGTATAAGTAGGTGTACATGAAGTGTTTTCACCTAAATGTTCTAATAAAGAATGTGAGGTTACTCACTTTCTAAAGCTACGTTTTCCCCCAATTCAACCATTTACATGGTTGCAGAGATTTGTATTGCAGTGGTATAAGGAACTGAACCTTTAAATCACTTATCCTCAGAGTGCTGTGAGGCAATCAGGTATCCAAGCTTTACAAAACAAGGAAGCACACCTTGTGAACAAGACACTAAGGCAAAGTTCATACAAAGTCTGTGCAGAGTGGGATTTCAGTTTTTGTTGGCAGATCTTGTGTGATCAATAAAGTGGGGACAGTGCAAAAATAGTAAATCATGATGGAAAGCCATTTTTATTTAATCTGCTTTAAGAAACCCAAAGAAAGTTTAAGTTACTCTGGGGAAAAGGCTTTAAATAGGGCCAAGATTATTCCTATTATGTATTTCTGCATTCTCCCAGGAAGTCTTCAGGGAATAAAACCCAAAACTCAGGAAAAAGTAAATTTTTTAAAAGGTCCTGTTACTATTTTTCCCTTTGCTGTCGATCTCTTTTTTTGCTGTAGATACATTTAATTCATATTTGGCTTTGTTAATTCCAACTTATTTTGACTGTTTCTTTGGGCAGGTCAACACCCAGAGTGAACACACGCACACTTCCAAGATTCTTGGGAGTTTTTTATTACAAAGCACTTCAGACAAACTTAGATTAAAAACAAAAAGTTCTCTTCTGTAACAGGAAACTATTTTAAAACAACATTCATAAAGAAAATAGAGTGTTCTTAAACATTAACTTCAGTTAGAGCTCTTCTGTAATGAAATCTAAAAGACACAACTGATGGGTCAAGAGCTATTCATTTTGTATATATTCATAAAAGGGAGACTAAGTTGTAACACACACATGTCATGGAGCATCTTATTGTTCATAATGAAATAGTAACGCTCAATAGTTAATTCTGGCCTGACAAACCAGCCCAACATTTAAATATTTTTCAGTCCCAAAAGAGACAAACCATTAACATCTCTCATTCAATAACTAAGCCAGCCCTGGCTAAGGGTTAAAGCCACTTCAAAGCACCTAACATGATAAGCTCTTCATTTCATGTACTTCTCCTGTTGATCAGCCAAGATTTTTGCTGAGGATTTAGCATCATAGAAAAGTTCATTTATTTCTTCAATATGCTCTTTCTCAATGCTGTCTTTCCCATTAATCTTGGCAAGCAGGTTAGCTGGGGTCAGCAACTGCACAGCGTACCTGTGATCAGACAGACACAGATGAGTAATTGCAATTCAGTGCATCCCAGTGAACTGAAGATATGTAGTGGTGGGACATTTGTTAGGAAACACACAGCTCTAACAGCAGTATGAAAAGTCAGCAAACCCTCCAGCATATACGTTCCTCAAAGCAGGAAAGAGGAGCATTACCTCTCTCTGGTAAATATTAGCAGTGTTTTAATAGACCACAGAGAAGGTCCAGAGAAGGGCAAGAAAGCTGGTGAAGGGTCTGGAGCACAACTCTTACAAAGAGCAGTTGAGGGAGCTGTGGGTGTTTAGCCTGGAGAAGAGGAGGCTCAGGGGTGACCTTCTCTCACTCTCTACAACTCCCTGAAAGGAGTCTGTAGCCAGGTGGGGATCAGGCTCTTCTCCCAGGCAACCAGCAACAGGACAAGACAACATAGTGTTAAGCTGCACCAGGGGAGAGATTTAGGTTGGACATTAGGAGGATTTTCTTCACAGAAAGGCTGAATACATTGGAATGGGCTGCCCAGGGAGGTGTTAGGAGTCACCATCCCTGGAGGTGTTTAAGGAAAGGCACCTAGTGACATGGACCAGTTGACACTGTGGTTTTAGGTCATAGGTTGGATTTGATGATCTCAGAGGTTTTTTCCAACCTAACTGATTCTATGACATTATTGTAGGGGAGAGGTTTGTCTCACTTCTAAGAGTGAGTTATCGTACACCGTTTTTAGATCCAGTGATGATTCAGAGAAAAGTGTGCACAACTTACCTTAAGGTTGTCTTGGTACCAATTTCCCCTAAGTGGTTTAGAGCTTCTTCACTGATGTTAATTCCTTCTGTCTGAGCACGAAGTTTTGTGATCTGTTGGGAAGAATAAGTGAGGCACCAGCTCCAACGATTAGCATGCTAAACTACTCAGCTTAGTATCTGGAAACTGTCAGCTTAGAGATGAGACATGCTATAAAACAAGATGGTGTGGAGAGTTACCCTGGTGTAACTTACACTAAACCAGAACTTGTAGAATTCTAAGTCTTTGAACAGGCAAACATATTACTGAATAAAGTATTCTCACAAAGGGGAGGTAAAGTAACACATCTGGACTAACTCTTCATGGTAACTCTGCATTGTTAGCGAAGTCTGTCTACTCATAAGGAGCAGAATATGAGACCTTATACAAGAGAACTGAAAAAGCATGCAGGAAATAATTGGCAGCTGGAGTCCTATGGTCAGCCACACCAGTTACTAAATGCTGCAGTGTATCACTGCTGCTGTACAGCAGAGCCCTCCAAAAGGCCCTACAGAAAGCTACACCCTTTCCTTAGCAGCTCACAACACACTTTTTATCCAATTGACAAGAAGATAGTAAAATAAATCAAAAAGTTACTTTCTATGATTCACCTATTCCTGCAAGAAGAAAAAAAAAAAAATCGCTAGGAAGAATCTAATCTTTCAAGAACAGTCTCAGGCTTGTACCAGTTTGAAGATCTTTACAAAGTTGGAGAGCAAGATATCACCAATAAGCCTGAGCATATAAAGCTGTAACAAAAGTGGCACAAGTCTCTCGGTAGTCCGTATTACCTGCTGAGTGATAAGGGGCAGACTGGATAATGATGTTGTGTTGTAGTGCTGAGATAACTCTGGAACTGCAGGCCTCATATAATACAGGTATTTTTCACTTTGGCAGCTTTGTAAACAAGATATCAAGCAGCACTCGTTTAAATTAAAGCCATAAAAATGCGCTAGGGGAGTCAGGGGGAACAGTCAGAGAGGGGCTGGAAACGGCAGCAAGTTGGTGCTAAGGTGTTAATACTGAATATTGGGAACACTCCTGCAAATAGCAATTTCACAGCAAAGATATTTTACTTTTAAATCACCCAAACATCACCTCCCCTTCATTCAAACACTGCTACTTCGTTCTTCTTCAAGAAAAAGAAGATATCAAGAAACAAGATATCTTGAATGCCAAATCTTTTTAAAGTAAGTTTTTATCCAGCAACCTGGTAGAACCTTACTGAAGCCATTAACCCAGCAGCTAGCTCATGTATGCATTTACTATGGCATAGGAAAATAGGTGTTTATCAGGTAAAATACATTAGGAACAAAAAGTCCCAGCTATAACCTCTAACATCTAGCAACAGGCACATATGCAAAAAATTTTGATTACAACAATACCTGACTAGAATATGCATAAATGTGAATTTTTTCCCTATTCTGTTTGCACTGTAACTGTGGGTCTTGTCTCAGAGCAGCACTACACAATGGCATTTCTACTTTATCAATACAAAATATTTTGAACTGGTTATGAACAAACTTTCAGCAGATACATGCATCAATCCTGTGCTGATAAAGAAATCAATTGTGAGAGACCAAGGCAAAGAGTCTCAGACAGAAATATCAGCAGCAGAAATGTCTTCCTAACTTGAAAGAAAATTGGGAGCAAAAATAGAGAAATAAACTTAGAGATGTTTTATTTTTAACACCTCCCCCCAACTGCATTTAGTTAGAAACCAAAGTTAAATGTAATAGCTCCTCCTCTTCTCTCATGAGATGTTGCCATTCAAAAGCCTTAATTTAAGGGGAGATTGTCTGTCTGTGGAACATGATTTATGGGACATAATGTCTCAACTCTATTTTTAGCTTTAGGAAATTCTACTGTAAACAGCTCCTCTCCTTCACTCCTGGGGATGCTGAAATTCACAGCACTTACCCAGCTCTTCTGAAAATCAGCAGTTCAGAAATGAGCTCTTCAGCAGTGTATTATCTGCACAGTAACACAGCACTAACTACTCAGAATTCACTCACAGTACAGGGAAATCCAGACAGTCTTTAACATCTCCAGACTGAGTAAAAGTCACACTTTAAAATCTATTTTGCATACAGACCAAACCTAACTGTATTATTAAATCACTGAGCTGCTTTTACTGTAATCTACACCACAATGCTTTTAAGTGTCCTTTTAGGTACAAAACACCACCCCGAGAACAGCTCACACCAGTAGCTGTGAAAAGCTCCTCAAACCAAGCGAAATGAAGCTTTACCTCTACGTTTATGTTCGATAAATGCCTCGGCTTCACCTTGGCACTTATCCAGCAGCAGGAGACTATTATCTGGTGACAACGCTCTCCTCCATTGACACTATCTCTTAAATAATACAAAGAATTGACATGGTAAACCGTAATGTCTTCTGCATTGTGTCACTTCGCAGCATTGAGACGCTAATGAGGGAGGATCTTTGACACAATGCATCATAATGGCCCCAAGCACTATAATCGATACACAATACATTGTGATGGCCCCATAGGAAAAGTTCCAGGCATATCTCTGCAACACTTGCTATGCTTACATTTCCAAATTTGACTAAGAGCAAAAATCCTCCCAGTTTCAGCAGACAGTCCCAGTAGGTTAAAGCTGTAGTACAGGGCATAGAGGCAAAAATATAGTGCATGAAGTTGCATTCCTCAATCCCTCTCATCTCTTATGTGAGGGAAAAGCCCAAGGTCTGGGACCAAAGGACCCAAAGGTGGGACACTTCATCTCACAGCAACGGAAAAAGCACTGCCTCACTGGAACCTGCGAACTAGGGAAAGCACATTTGTTCAAGAGGTCACTTCAGCTAACAATTCATGCCGTTGCATGCAAGGGAGGTGTTGCTTTCAGCTCTAGATATGCTTAGCAACTCCTCAGTGGGGGGGGGGGGGGGGGGGAAATCAGACAGAGAAGTTGCATAGACAGTTTTAGCCAACTCGTTGTAATGGCTCCTAAAGCAGCAGGCACTTAGGAAGCAGGAAGCTTTTTGTCCCAAGCCCTGGTGACCACAGAGTCAAACAGCTCTATAGTAACAGAGTAGGCAGAAACTGAGCAGAGCTCTGGGGACTCATTATAAATTCTCTTAAAATGCTGTGTACCTGCTTCATTTCTTGGGGTGTATACAGCATGGTTCGGATAATCATCACTCTATCCAGCAGGTCCAATGGTATTCCATGGGGAGACACGATATCTTCTGTGCCTCTGAAGGAGAAGCCAAGTGGAAAGAGATCAGATACTACTCTGAGTTCAATACATTGATTTGACTAAAATCAGTAAAAAGTGACCACACATCTACTAGTTTACAACTGTTGTGTGCCCTGCAGAGACACAAACGCTCCCCAGACAGAGACAGGAAACATTCTGGTCTGAAGTTCACACTGGACAGCCCGAGGGAAACAAACACTATTTCTGGAGCTCTTAAACAGGCCACTCAAAAATAGTTAGAGGTGATTTCCTCCATGCTTTCCTGCACTGTATGTCACAGTACAGTCTTGCCTAATATTCCAAGCTATCTCCCAACAAGGAACATAGCAGTTTTACCAAGTTTTTAAGCTGTATCGGTATAAATTATACACACAATTTGGAGAACATCCCCCCTAGCTGAGCAAGTCATTACTCTGTTCCCCAGTCCCTGCAGTGAATGCTGCAGTGGTTTACATTCCATGCTTGCAATCCAGCAAATTGAAGAGTGGAGGTCTGTGCATAAGGATAGAGCAGGATCTAGATCCCCAACCATTTTATTTGCTGGGGGTACAGCACCCAACAGCAAAGCCTGCAGACACATGCACTCTTGGTTTTCCAAGACCATCATGATTTGCTCTGAAGTCAAGAGTGAAACATACCCAGATTTAGTGAGAATTAGAGAGACAGCAGTAAAAACAGTAAAGTGCTGGTAAGGAACTACATTTATAAGTTCAGTACTAATCTATAGGCACTGCAGCTCTGGCCATGGTCCTCCAATATTCAATGCCATTATGATGTGGAAATCTTCCTTTCTTAAATCACATTTTTTCATAACAAGTTCTTAAGTGAATCCATATCAACAGATCTCTACTTCCTCTACTTTTACCAGACATCCTTTCTATGCCTTTGCAAAGAGAGCACTGCAATGTCCACCTTAAACATTTCTGAAGGGCTTATCACCTTCACTTCTAAGCAAAGCAACCAGAGAAAAATTAATACCAGATGAGCCACTATGAAGGAAGGGAAAAGCTGGTTACATAGCTCAATTACATCAATTTAAAGAGTAGCAATCATTGCTAATGACAGTCTGTTTAGACATAATTAGACCTAGACCACAAATTAGGAGTAGAACCAACAGAAGACTCTGAAAGAGGAGAGCACTTTTACTACACATGCAAAGAATGCATTGTGTGGGTGCAAAATATTGAAGTAGAGGCACGAAGTGGAGATGAAAAACAAGTTAGTTGGCAAGACTGAAGAATCACAAAAAGCCAGACAAAGTAGGAAAAGGGAGAGGTTGAACAGCAACACACTAACAGTGAGAACAAGAAGGTGAAGTCTGATGCAATTAGGATAGCAAACAGCAAAATAATCCAGAAGCAGGAAAGCATGATATTAGAAGGTATGTAGCTCTGGTGCTTTTGATGTCCCTAATGTGTAGGCAACAGATGTGTTGAGGTATACAATGAGAACGGCAACTGTTACAGATCACCCAGGAAGTAAGACAATTCAGAAGATGATGTGCTAGTGGAAATAAAAGGAGGAATTCCATTCTGCTTTAAGTCAGTTGGCCTGGCATTAAATGCTTGTCCCGTCATGAAACTCATGAGAAGCTCTTGAGCACTGGTGCAGCCATGCAAGGGAATATCAAAGGTGTCAGTGTCAGAGACAACAGCCTTTGAAGATTGTAACTCTACTGATACAGCTAATTCCAATGTTTATGGACCAATGCCAAGTGCAAAATTCAAGTACCAATTCAAGTATTCATTATCATACCTGATAATGCAGTTTCCTCGGTTGGAAGCAAAGATGACAATGGGGGAAATAGAAGATTCCAGCGCTCGGTGCAGGTATGTGAAGCATTCAATATCCAGCATGTGAACCTCATCCACAAAGAGCACACCTGGGACAAGCTCTGCAATGCCTTGATCGATGTATTTGTTCACCACCTTATTTATCTCTCCTCGAAGTTTGTCTGAGAACAAAGAAACTGTTAGCTGTTCTGCTAGTGAACTATAGTCAGTAGGAAAGGCTTAAAGCAAGGAAAATTCTTGATTTTTGTCATGGTTTGGGATCTTACTGGCACAAAGAAAATCTCTGTGACACTAACATTCTGTGGCATTTAGTAGTGTATTGGGGAGGCATCTCTGCAATGAAATATTTCTCAACTGAATTTCTCACACTTAACTGGGGGTAGTGTGTGCCCTCTCATGGCTTGTGAAAAAACTGATTGCTGTGGATTTGGGGAGTTTGGCAGGGGTGGAGAAGTTTAAAACATGATACTAAAGTTTCCAGGCATAGCTGAAAAGATTGTCACTGAAAGAATGAAATCTTGCTACTGTATTTCAGCAAAGAAAAATGGCTATGTAGGTTTCTGTGAACATATGGATCTCAAAGCAATGCAAGATGTTACATCAATAAATCTGATATTAGAATAAGCAAAGTGACCACTGGAACAGACAAAATACCTCAAAAGACTGCCATTCAGTTAGGCATTGAAACAGACTTCGATCTAAATTTAGTCACTTAGTGAAAAATCATTTCTTTCAAAGCTAAAAGGAGAATAGATCTGTCTGTAGATACTGTTTTCTCCAATGATCTGGAGGTAGGAAGAACAGCAGTGCATATAGAGCATCAGGTCTACAGACAGCTGCTGAGATGCACACAGAGGTGCCATTTATCTGCTCCACTGAAGTTCAGTATGGTTTGCTTCACATAAGGACACATTCCAACAACATTTCTTAGAATATGTGTATTATTGCTCTTCTGTTTGGCTCTTTGTTGAAAGCCTAAACCTCACACTCTCTGGCAGGAACGTTGAGAGGATGGCACTAGTGTGCTGACCTCTCTCTCCAGGTAGATGGGTGCAGAGCACAGTACATGCTTTATCACTATATGCACTCGTTGTGCTGTCTCTGGCCATGGCAATTCCAGCAGCTGTATCACTGCTCTTTGAAATCTGAACATTTATGAATAAGTGCTATGTAGGCATTTATTTGGAGGTGTTGCCTGAGTAACCCTATGAGTTGGTTTGGGCAGCAAATAGCACACCCTATTTTTTAATCCTTTTCTAACTGGCAAACACAAAGGTCGTGTTGGTCTCAAAATACCATGCACGATTCATACCAGTAATTTCAGTTTTCTTAGGCTTCATCAACTGCCCCATCATAGAGAGGATGTCTTGCCCTCCCTAGGAAAAGAAAGTTAAAGATCAGCTATGAGGTCATGTAGTGAACACATACCTTGAGAAGTTTATAAATCAGGAACTGGTTAAAGAAGTTGTTTCTTAGAGTTAACTTGATACTTTATATCAGCAGTCAGTGATGATCTGTCAAAGCTGAGGTCACTTCACCACAGCAGTATCATATAAACAATCACCTAGCTACCTCCTCACCCTTTCTTCAGCCTTGCTAATTTGGAGAGCATAAAAAACCCAACATGAGCTATCTTCTTTTAAAAAAACTGTCACAGAGAAACTCAAAAGGAATGAAATTGTCAGGGAACACACAGACTTGGGACTTCCTGCATGCACAATAGGTGTTCAACCTGTCAACACAGGAACAATTAGTCTGAGTTTTAAAACTTTTGAATGCCATGATTCCTATCCAATAAAAGATTTTGTTGTAAAAAGAAGGAAGTTTATTTTGAAATTGAATAGGTTAAGGGGTTGTGTTAGGATACTGTAGGGATGCCAGCCCTTCAACTTGTTAGTGGCTTCTGTTCATGACATAGGGAATTTCCTCAATACTGGATTTATGTTAAGATACAGCAAGGAGTAATTCTCCTATCTTTTTTTTTTTTTTTTCCTGCAATACATTCAGAGCTCTACTGAAATTCACAAAGAAGTTTAACAGGTGGCTGTGAACCATTTCGGAAGGAAGCAGGGACATCAACAGAATCCATGGCAGTCAAAAATACTAAAGTCACCTTTTATCACAGTGCTTGCAGTTCCCATTTCATGGCCAAAAAACCATAAACACAGAGCAGAATATATTAATCTGCATTCAGAACTTTCACAAAATTAAGTGATGCAAGTCTGGCTGCTGCTACCTCACATCTATAGGCAGCTTTCCTTAAAGTAATCATCTCTTTTCCTAGTCAAGGGCAACAGCCCACACTGCTCTTTTTCTGCAAGGAATGGGGCACAGCGGTGGAGAGAGACAGGCCTAGATTATGCTTTAACTGTGGAGGGAGTAGATCCCAAACACCTGTGTGGAAGCTGTGCTATGGCTCTAAGACTGTTTTCTGTAGCAGTGTGAGGAATATTAGTCTGACAAATATTTCACAACCAGGTGTATGAATCCTAAACTAGCAACTGCCTCTAAGCTGCATGGCAGGGCCCTGAGGCAGGCAGCTGCAGCATGACCTCCCTGAGGGGAGGAGAGCTAGACTGACCTTCATGGTGTGACACCTAGTGCTTTTCCTGTAGTGGAATCTCTGAGGGTGAGTTAGGACAGCTCAACTTTCTCCACTCCCTCAATTATTCTAGTAACCATCACATCTATGTCAAATAATCTCTCTGTAAAGACTTCAGATACCTGAGGTCGAGCATTGGCCACATCCAAGTCATGCAGGGTGACATCCTGAATAATTTCCTTTTTCTTGTGTACATCACCTTTTGGCAAGGGAACATACTCTTCTGCTTCAAGGTCAAATTCTGTAGCATAGATATCACACCTGCCCTGCCTCTGAAGAAAAAAAAAGAGGAGAAACCAAGGTATAGAATTAAGTTCAGTGCCAAAACCTTGAGTGACATGAACTTGATAAAGGGCTTAGTTCACCATTCCAGTTCTGACAAGCTTCAGCTGACAATTTAGACATCCCACTCCCTGCTTAGCAATATGCATATCCTATCTACTGATCAAAGCTCAAAAACTCTGCTGAAAACCACCTGATATTTTCAGTGGCAAGAATATTCCACTCCTCTCTCCCCTTCTTTTAACCGTATGCAATTCTTGCTAAAGGACAAATCCAGCAGATTAACTAGAGATTGGGAGAACTGTTCAAGACTCCTTTATAGGTGGGTGATTTATTATATGATACAAAATATTATGCTCATCCATTAAACAGCAAGTATCACTGTACACTACTTTCTAAATCAGATATGAAAAGAATGCTAACTAATGCAGCATTCCCTTCTACATGTATATATCTTGAGGAGAAAATACCAGAGCGATAAAAGAAAGATTAAATACACTGCACATGTCAGCCTGAAAATGACAAAAGTTGCTTGGTTTTTCCCCTCTTCCCTTAAAGATGTCTTGATCTCACAGAAAAGAAAACTCATCCAGACAGCATCAGTGATAGCTTCCTTGCCAGATGACCTTAATTGTGAACCAGATCACCACGTTCTTTCAGTGCAAAAGAGACTTTTCTCCCCAGATAAGGAAAACACTGGGCTCTTTTTTGAATTTCCATGTAACCATTTCATGTCAGTTAAGGTTAATAAATCAGAGCCTCTGACAAAGGCAGAGAAAGGTCTACAAGAAACATACACCTGCATAACAGTACAGAACTTTTCTTTTACCTTGACAGCTCCACTGTTTGCTTCAATATAAATAACGTCACCCGTTTCCACTCGCTCCTTCTGCAAACTTTCAAAGATGCTTGGGTCCAGCTGGAGACAGGCAAACAGTACAGGTGGTCAAAACTGTTCCAATTGTTATGGTAATCAAGGCAAAGAAATTTAGCCTGAAGCTTACTCCCACCACAGAAAACTAAACTGCAACTCGCCCCAACAATACCTCTAGGATTTTATAAAGCTGTAACACTTGGGGTAGGGATAGAGAATAAATCTGAAAGACACACAGAACTTGTGTCTTACCAAAAAAAAAATCGGCTCTCCAAAGGAAGTGACAGTGCCAGAAACATAATGATACCAGTTACTATTACAAAATACACCTTTGTGTAACATGACAATATATTTATACCTAGGAAGCAGCACTTATTTTGCTTCTAGCAAAACTTCTATAAAAAGTCTGGCTATAGCATTCAATTATGTTACTTGATTTCTTGAGTCCTTATCTGCTGTGGAGCTGTGTGAGGGAGAGCGAGTGTGGAATATATTGGATGCTTTTGTTTCTCTCAGTACATGTTTATTCACTTTTGCTCTCTATTTTCTTGTTTTCAGAGTGAACAAATGCAAGGTGATACTTAACAAGAGAGACAGCTTTCAGTTCTTTACTAGTCTGACAGGGAAATTGAATGGAGACCTGTACAAGAAAACAAAGGGAAAGTGGCCTGAGCTGGCAACACACCAGCTCAATTTCCAGTCTCTATCAAATATTCACTAGAGCATATCTTCCTCTGTAGAAAGAAGGTATGTGACAGAAATAACAATTTGTTCTGAAACAGGCACAATTTCCCAAAACCATCCTCAAAAATTTGATTGAGAATTAAAAAAACAAAACCAAAAAATACCTTTCTTGTACGTTTATTATCATGAACATGAATTTATAGGCAAGATCAGAGCAAGTGTATCACAGACTGAGACAGAACAAAGTTCAGATTCCCAACGCATCCCATTTTTCCTTGGTACTATTGATGCTGCAAAACTGCATCAGGATCTCTTCTTGCTTAAGCTCACCTTTAACTCACTAAAGACATACAAGTGCTGCCATACAGAAATAACAAGGGCTGCTAACCAAGCAATGGGTTTATCCCCAGTTTCAGTTAGCAGAAGCCAAGACTAACATCTAAATATTCTGTATAAAGCAGACAAACATATACTATCATGACAAAGTTGTCTAACAAAAGAAAACAGCCTCTGGCATCCTCACTTTACAGAGATGGGGATCAAGAGCTGGAAATGAAAATAAGAAGTGCTAAAAAATTAGAAGATGCAAACCTGAAATATTTAAGGCATTTTATTTGAGACTCTACCAGACATACCTTCAGCTGTTTGGTTCCCTTTGCAGTTTTGAGTCCTATAATTACGTGGCTGATGGTTTTGCCATACCCTCCCATAGGATTTTCAGTCTCACATGGAGTTAGTTCTGTGACTTCTCCTTCATAAACCTCCTTGGTCTCTTTAATCCTCAACCCTGCAAGAAATTATTCAGGATAGTTTCAGTACACAAACCAATGGCCACATATGCTCAGGAATGTGTTGCAAGACTGTCAATAGAATGCAACATATCATTAGGCTGCACTACATTTAATGTTGTTTTTTTAAATTTTAAAATAGAAATATGTAGTATTGTTCTCTTCTTCAGTATTAAATGAGAATATTCATCCTGTGTCATCAGAATAAAAGCTCAGCCCAAATTCTGGCTTGCAATGCAGTTTATTAAACTCTAAGAAATTGTTTTTCTGTTCATTATTATTAGTCCTTGAAGCAAATGTCAGGATACTCTTTTCCCTCTCCCAAAGAGAGGACTTGCTAAAGCCAGAGAAACAGATCATCTTCTGAAACTAGTGACATTAATATAACTGCAAGTTTCACACAAGTTTTGGACCATCAGAAAAAGCCCTGCAAAGGTAACAAAGACAGAAGAAAAAAGTAATTTCATAAAAAACTTTACATTTTAGCAGCTGAGTTAAAAATAACAGAAACTGGTTAACAGAAATTGTGTTAGACCATCATAAAATTATTAAAAGGTTAATGTATAATTTCAAATATTTTTAAAGTTAATAGCAAAAGGTGATGAAATTTAGCAGAAATTGCTATAATGCAAATTTAAAGCTATTCCAAAATAGCTGCCAATGACATCCTTACTTTGTTGTTTTCCAGGCAGCTAAGCAATCACCACAGTATTTGGGCATCTTCTACTCTAGTTACAACTATTGGAAATAGTTATTTTAAATTGATGAATAATACAGAGCTGAGGAGTTTTACAGTTAGACTGTTCCAAAGAAAAACCACTGTCATCACCACCACCACTACAATTATGCATATGTTCTAACTACACAGAAGTTCAAAGAACCCACATCTGAGGGGACTCTATAAAGTATTTTATGAGACACACATGCCATCCCAAAAATAATGAATGGGCTGTAACAAGATATAAGAAAGTCATCCTGCCCAGTCTGAGGTTATTAGGACTTTATAGAACTTTCCTTGTTCCGTAACTTTTCGTTTTGCTTTGAAATAGATCAGACACTTCACCAGTAATCTTGAGCTGCTGATAGGGGCTGTAAAGAACTGACAAATACGAGTCTGTCTCCCTCTACTGGGCCCAAATTCAGACCAGGATTTGAAATGCAAGAAATAGGTTAACTGTGGATTACGTGACAATTTCTCGGTAAGAAATGTTTGCTTTCTCTTACTTAGGACTCCATAAAAAGTTGGGTATAAAGTTATTTCAGTAAATTTTAAAAATGTTTTTCAGGTATGCCAAATCACCATACAAAAAAAATTACTGAACCTTTGAGTTATAAAACTGACCTAAACAAGGCTGCATCCCATGGGGATGTGAAACAACATGGCAATCTCTACAGTGAAACTGCTTCACAGATTTGCTTGTCCTGTTGTTGTGCTTTTAAACTTTCAGCACAAGCCTTATTCTGCTCTGAAACACTGGAAGCCTTTTTGTGTTTGGGGTATGTTTTGTACACTGCTGAAGCACATCTTTCAGTTTCATTTCATCTGAGAAGGATCCTATTCACATGCTGTCTGTTCTACAACACAAGCCAAAGCCAAGTCAGCAAGGACAACCCCGGGATTTGCCTCAGAAGCCTCTAATCCAGCCTAATGTGCTCACAGAGATGTGCCTGTAAAAAATACTTAGAGGTGAACATCATTTGAACAAAGGTAACTGATGCTTTGAACTTGATTATCCATTGCTTTCTAATTAACCTCCATGTATCAACTATGAAGTTAATTCTCAAATGATTTCTTGAACAGAGACATCTTTTACTCAAGAATCAGACATGAGTCCAAGGCAGCAGCTGTGGGCTACTCCGAGTTTTGGTTCAATAGCACTCCATAGACTAAACAGTGCTTGTTTGATTCACTGGCAGTTACAATGTGGCTACACAAGGAACAGATTAGATATTTAAGTGGCTATTCCAGCAGTTATTTTTCACTGTAGCTGAACTCTAACATTAGCTGCTGTCATCATCCTCTCCAGCTGCTAATAAGCTCTGTACTAGATTAATCTCTCTCACGTTAAGTTTCTTTTACCCTGTACAACTCCATCTGCTCATTTCCCACTCTGTTCTTTTATGCTTTTACATGTTGCAAACTCTCTACTATGTCCCAAACACTACCTGACCATGAAACTACGTCAAGTCTGTTATTAAAAGACTCAACAATAACAAACTCAGTCACTCCTGCTTTTTTCTACAGTGATTGGTCCAAACCAGTCAGACTCTGAGGCTTCCAAGGAAAAATCCCAACAACTAAGTAAAAAAAATTGACTTTTAAAAACTGAGGTGGCTAAACACCCTGAGAGTAAAATGTAAGATACGAGAATAGATGATGTACACAGAGCCTGCTAACAAGGAAACGTACTAAGAAGACTCAAAAAAACCCTACATGAATACTTTAGGTATTGATGGACACGTCAGCTGAGGCTTCTCTTGCTCAGCTGACACTGCCCTGTGTGTGCAAATCATTTTTTTACAAATGCATCTTTGTAAATTATTTCTTTTCCAAGCAAGGAAGCTAAAACTTACTGGAGATTAAAACCCAGCTGGGAAGTGTTCCATTATGAGAAATGGTGGTTACTAGTCCTTTCAAATATTTCAGAGATTTATTTACACTGATAAAAATATTCAATAAAGGTTGTGTTATGAAAATGTGACATGGAATTCAACAGAAAGGAATAAAAGAAGTTCCATCTTTCATTAACACTCATATTTGTTTAGAAGTGTCTCTCTGTTGACATTCAGGGAATGCAGGGAACTAACAATGTAGCTGGCTGTTAAACCCCAGAGAGTTAAACCTCTGCTGTCTCTAGAAATGACAATGTGGATGGCCTAAGTTTCATCTGCTGGTTCAGGTTTCCAAATCTCTGACAGGGAACTTCATCACATCAAGGAAATTTTGCAGACTACTGAGTCTCTGGCTTCCCTCCCACAGGCCCTGCCAGCTTCATGGTAACTAGAAGACCAGAGGCTACTGAGAGTTGCTTTCTTATAAAAGTCAATGGAATACTTTTGTGTCACTGGAGAAGTGAAAGACTTCTTCACTTCACTGCTGCCAAGTATCTAGATGAAGTCCAAGAGGAAACATGGTACAGAAACAGGAAAATTAACTGTTCATATGTTCAGGACTAAAATCAGGTGAGCTGTCTTTAGCCAGCCCTCACACAAACAAACAAAGGCCACTTCTCCCTGCATTTATCAGCTGTCAGCAGCGATCGTGTAAGAGATTTTGGACAGTCGCTGAGGCTGTGCTGTAAATTAAACCAATTTACATCAAACTTGTAAGAGCACTCTAGAACTGAGGAAGGAAGACATTAAGTCAAAGTGTTCATTTTGTTGGCATGGAACTTCCTTTGTGCTTGCTGGAATACTAAGTCAGGCTAACACTGCCATGTGGGAGCCCCAGTTAAGACTGTTTGTTTAGTAGTGTGAAATGACTAAAAGAAGAAAGGAGAGAGCATTTTTCTGTCCACAAGTATTTCTGCTAATGCAGGAAAGTAAAAATCATTTTTCTTTCAGCTTTAGTCACAGTCACAGGCAAAACCAGGAGGTGAACATGGGGTGTAAGAGAAGAATCTGGGGAAGTAGAATAAACCATAATACAATAATTAAATTATGCTTTATAAATAGAAAACCTGACTCCACTAAGTGTGGAAGAGATTCACTAAACTAAGATTGACAAGCATACAGCAATCTGGGAATATTATGAACACTGAGACGTTTTACCCTTTTAGATGCCCGAGAAAAGGCAAAATAAGTGTCATGCAAATCATTATTAATTCTTCCGTGTTACTGAAACTCACCAATTGCACGTCGGAAGTTTTCCATTAGAACTTCTGTTTTCTTGATCTCAGTGGAATAGACCTCACTGCCAACCATAGGGCAAAAGGGAACTTTGCTTCCCAGTTCCTGAGCAATAGCTAAAGCCAAAGCAGTCTTAAAACAAAAACAAACCACAAAACACACACATTAATTTTGAAGAGAATTAACAAATTATTCCCTCTGCACAAAGTTAACTTTCCTCATTACATCACCTTCCATGTATCAACTATCAATTTAATATTAAGACTGCTCTGACACATATATAACAACTTTGGTCAAAGTCACATGTTTTGGGGGGAAGACTTATAAAACACCTTAAAGACACAATATTGGGCATTTGAATTTGACATCTGACACAAGGCAAATCAGATACCTGATTTAAGGCAAAAAGCCTTAAATAGCATGGGAGGAAAAATAAACAAGCAAAACATTTATGCTTTTAATATAAAATTAACTTCTAAGACTTCTTCAGAGCCCATATTACCTTTGTGTTCGGTAACCTACAAGAGGTGGTTTCACATTACTGATGCTGAACTCACCACTGGGTACTGCCAGTGTTGATGACAAGGCAAAAATCAAAACATAAAGCAGGAAACTCTGTCAATACATTGATGGAAAAACATTCCAGCAGATGAAAGCATTATGTAACAACTACCCTAAAATGGTTTTGGCAACAAATTAAAATAAAATAAATCTGAGAATGCTTTATTTCATACCAAAATATAAAAAATAATACCTTGCCAGTTCCAGGGGGTCCTGCCAATAGTACAGCCCTGCCAGCCATTTTCTTGCTTTTGATTAGCTCCACTATAACCCCACAAGCCTGTAAGTTAAGTATTTACACTGTTAACACGAGTATTGTTACACTATCTTTTGTTCCAACATGACCAAAAACGTTTAGAAACAGTAGGTTTTGTGATGCCGCTAAAAATAAAGAGGATTTCAATTTCACACACACAGAAAGGGAAGCAAGATCAGAAAAACCTACTTCCCACAATCACTTCATTTGACACGAAAATCACTGACAATCTGAGAGCGCTGATTCCTTTCCCCTCCCGGGGCCGCAGGCACACGGGGCGGTTTGAAAGTGAAGCTGGAAATGGATCTTTGCTGCCTCAGCCGCAGATCCCCTAAAGCGCCCTGCGGG